TGACTCTATGGCACTTAACAACAACAACAACTATTTTAACAATAGTAAGTCATTTAGTCCACGATATGGGGTATCTTTACAATTATTTAGGTCTTATTTAATGTCTTTCAGCCCTGTTTTGTAATTTCCAGTGCACAAATCTTATATGTCTTTTGCAAAATTTATTGCTAAGTATCCTATAATTTTTTGATACTATTATAAATGAAATCATTTTTGTAATTTTATTTTAAGATTTTCATTACCAGTGTACAGAAACACAATTTATTTTTGTTTGTTGCTCTTATATACTGCAACTTGGCTGAACTTGTTCATTAACTCTCGTAGTGTTTTTGACTTGTTTTTGCTTTTGCAGATTCCTTAGGATTTTCTGTATTGTCATATGCAAATAGAGATAGTCTTACTTCTTCCTTTCCATTATGGATGCCTCTGTGACTGTGTGTGTTTCTTGTCTAGTTGCCCTGAATACAGTCTACAATACAGTGTTGATTGAAAAAACAAAACAAAACACAAATGTCTTGGTTGCCAAGAGCTGCCATAGCAAAATACCACAAAGTGGACAGTTGTAAAGAGCAAAAAGCTACCATCTCACAGTTTTCAATGACTTTTCCATGAAGGACACAAGGCTTCTCAAGGCTAGGAGTCCAAATCAGGGTATCCATCATATTGATTCCATATGAGGATTGCAAGAGGAGATGTGTCCCTCACCTCTCTCCTAGCTTCTGGTGGCCACTGACAATCCTTGACATGCCTTAGCTTGTAGATGCATCTTCACATGGAGTCTTCCCTCTGTGTGTCTGTGTTTTTAGTAAGACATCAGTAGGATAGGATTAGCACCTACCCTATTCTAGTATGACCTCATGCTAACCCAACTGATAACATCTTAGTGACCATATTTCCAAACAAGGTCACCATCACAGGTATAGGGCATTAGGACTTCCTTTTATCTTTTTGGAGGACACAGTTCAATCCATCATGACATATGGTAAAGGGCTAATTACTTGAGAATCAACATGAGAGGGAAGGGTGGGAAGGAAAGTAATTAGGAGCTGTCATTTATGTGTGTGTGTGTGTGTGTGTGTGTGTGTGTGTGTGTGAACCTGTGTGTATGTGTCCCTTGAAGTGGCTGAAGAGAGGTTCCGAGAAGCTTGCAGAGGCCCGAGGAGTGAGGGACCAGGCTGGGAGCCATACAGTGCTAAGTGGAGAACACACAATGTGGTGGAGAGGAGGGGCTGGAACTGTTGCTGCGGTAGCCCCCTTCACCTTGAATGCTGGTTACCCAAGACCAGACTGCCTAACATATGGACACCCTAGTTGCATAGCAACCCCTGTGTTGAAATTCCATATGTTTCAGGGAAGAGCCATAGAAAAGACAACTAAGTTGATCATGCTCATTGGCCAGGGTTTCATTTCCTTAGCTGGATTTGATCCAATGATGCTGTCTTCTCTTGTTGTTGTTGTTGTTAAGTGCAATTAATTCAGTTCCAACTGATAGTTGGAAACCCTATATAGGGTTTCCAAGGACCAGATGGTGAGTTTGAACCTTGCAGTCCAGTTCTTATCCTACAGCACCATATCAAGACTCTTTAAACGACAACAACAAAAAACCATAGTCCATCATGTGAACTATAGAGTTTGTGAGCAGATCTCTAATGGCTTCATAGTGGTGTAATGCATGTAGACTCCCACGGATTTCCTTCAGTTCTCAGAAGACCATTCTTTACCTTTTGAGTCAGAGAGTTGCAATGTTCTCTGAAGAAGGGTTCTTGTGGATAAACATTAAGTCAATTGACAGAGAAGCGACAGAGTCTGTGAAGGTGTCTGCCCCAGGTCATGAAGACCTGTTACACCCTGCCCCTGGAGGCTCTGCTCCACAGAAGATTGTCCGTGGAGATGCCATCCCATAGGACCACTCCACTGTGGCCTTCAGCAGTGCACAATCCACACAGGAGACCCACACAGCTTCTAAGTGAAGCATCAGTGCTGTGATGTCCACATCACCACCCTCCCCAGGTGAGACATGGAGGAATGCAAACCTTGTGTGGTCAGGCAGCAACCATGGCAACAGACATCAAGGCTGCTTCAAGTTTCTGCTTACTGAGTGCAACATCTCATCAGCAACAGTGATGAGACTGGGATCCCACCATCTGCCCCACCTTGATCTGTACCCTGGGAACATGTGGCTGTCCCAGGTGTGGTGGAGGACCCATGGGCCCAGGTGAGGAGCAGAGCTGGGCAGCTGCTCTGTGAGGAGATGCTGGGTCTCATCAGCTTCGGTCACACTGGGCAGGCAAGGTTACTGCTCAAGCCAAGACTTTTGGATTTAGTATCATATGCTATGACCCCCACTTTTAGGATGTGCTAGAGCTCTGGTAGCATAGTGGTTACGAATTGGGCTGCGAACAGCAAGGTCAGCAGTTTAAAACTACCAACCATGCTGAAGGAACTCTCGTAGAGTTGGGCTGCTAACCTCAAGGTCAGTAGTTCGAAACTACCAACCATGATGATGAAGAAAGATGAGACTTTCTGTTCCTATAAAGATTGACAGTCTCAGAAATCCTATGCAGGGTCACTGTGAGTCGAAACCTACTCCACGGCACACCACCACCACCAGAGTTGTCCTGGACTTGCAGAGTGAATCTGTATTCCAGCAAGTAGGTTTCCTTGTGCTGCCATCTCAATGAACAAATAAACCACTGCCATCCACTGTCAATTCCAACTCACAGTGACCTTGCCTAGGGTTTCTGAGGCTGTAAATCTTAATGAAAGCAGAAGACCTTGTCTTTCTCTCTCAGAATGGCTGGTGAGTTTGAACGGCCCACCTTTTGGTTCACCGTCAGTGCTTACCCTACAGTACCACCAGGGCTCCCAGTGAATATAACCATCCCCGTATCAATGGCTTTTCTATAAAATAGATAAGGCAAACAAGGTACCCTACCCTAGATGTTCAGAGTGGGAGCCTTTTAGTTTTTGCTCAAGACTCACTGGCAACTGTACTGATTGTGACCTGTATGGCCCATGCAGGTTGATGTAGTGAGCAAGTATTGCTGGAGGTGAAGGAGGAGGCTGCTACAAAGATCCGCCAAGCAATCGTAGGTCACATCACAGCAAGCCTAAGAAACTGTGAGCAAGACATTCTTTATCAATCGATTAGCAAGCCATTCATCTGGAATTCAATGGCGGCACATGTAGATGTCCACCAGGCATCATGGGCATGACTCCAGCCTCCACCAGAGAACACACCTTACCCTAGCACCTTTTCCTAACCAGCCCCCAAAATATGGGAGTAACTCAGAGCACCATGGTGAGCAAGAGCAGAGAATGTCAAAAGCCTGAAACTAAGATGGTGAACAATGCATAGCCTCAGAGAGAAGGATTTGGACACAGTCCTTTAAACTTACTCAAGACAGGATGCATCATTGATGTTATAGCATTCCAACTACAAAAGAGCTACAAGCCAAGATGTGGGAAACACGAAGATATAGATCACTGGCTCACAGAAGCGCTGATACACAACGTGCAATTTATGAAGGACCTACTTCTGTTATTGTGTATTGTTTTCCATCTGTGCATTAAATCACCAAGAATGAGAAGATCTTTTTTTCTTTATCCCTCCCTTGGCCACAGCAGGTACAGGACTCCTTGCTTTACAATGTTGCATATAGAATCCCAAACTTCAAAACGATTTCAATGTAAAAATGGAAATTCCCATGCTATAACCCTAGCCCCTTTAGTCCATGAAGGTGGGCTACCTTTTTTTTTGCTAATTGTTGTCGAGACCACCCACCAGCCACTCCTCAGGAAAAAGATGTGACCGTTTGTTTCCATAAAGACTGACAGTCTTGGGACCCTATGGAGCAGTTCGACTGCCCTAGAGAGTCACTGTTGAGTCTCCATCAACTTGACGGTTTAGGATTTGGGTTGCTGTTGTTAGGTGCTGCTGCCAGCTTGATCATTGCCTCACAGCTATTCCATTTGGCAGAGTATAACTGGTTCACTGGGTTTCCTAGACTGTGGTTCAAACTTTCCAGCCACTCGCTGAAAACCCTATATAAGGTCTCTATGAGTCAGAACCAACTCAACGGCACTTAATAATAACAGTGATCTTTACAGAGGTAGGTTTTGTGGTCTTTCTCTGATGGAACCGCTAGGTGGTTTCTAACAACCAACCTCTCAGTCAGCAGACAAGCACTCAACCATTGTGTCACCAAGAAATCTTTTCTTTGCTGAGAACTCCACTGCCATCCGTCGATTCTGACTCAGCCACCGTACAGGACAGGGTAGATGTGCTCTAGAAAGTTTCCAAGGAAGTCATGTTTATGAAAGCAGCCCGCCATATCTTTTTCCATGGTGTAGCTGGTGCATTCAAACCACCAACCGTCTGGTTAGCAGTGAATCACTTCACTACGATAGCAGGGTTGCTTCTTTTGTTCATGTTTTTATTGTTGAGTGCTGTCGAGTTGGTTTCAATTCATAACTACCCTGTACGGTGTTTCCTAGGAGCAGCTAGAAGTTTTAAACGATTGCCCTTGTGGTTAGCAGTCCAGTGCTTATCCTACAGCACCACATCAGAACTCTTTTGCTCATACAAAGATGCATTTGCTACACACGGGAAGAGCACAGTGTGCCTGTGGTAGGCAACAGCAAGCAGAAGACTGAAGGATATGCAGACTCCTATCAAGAGAAGTGTGTCTCACATCTGAACTGTATACTGAGTGGACAAGCTGTGGAGATCTGGGTGTAGATTAAGTACTAGCTTCTGATGATGAAAAAAAAACCAAAAAAGTATCAAGTTTCACAAGCTGTTTGTCTTCACATGTATTTTCCTCCTTTCAAACCCTCAGCTATTTTGTTGAATGAAAAGTCTTGAGCTGGAAGAGTTCCAGAAGACTCATGTTGCATTTCCTTATGCCTCCGGAAACCCTCTTTTTGGTTACTTGTCAGACTGTTTGTGAACAAACCCACTTCCTTAAACATGTTTTTTTCCTGATGCATTTTCATAGAAACCAGGGGAAATGCGTGGAGGGCATGGTGGAGATCTTTGACATGCTTCTGGCGACATCAACTCGATTCCGTATGATGAACGTCCAAGGAGAGGAGTTTGTGTGCCTCAAATCCATCATTTTACTCAATTCTGGTGAGTTGATGATATGGGAGAAATTCATTCGGGTTGCTAGCAGAAATATTTGTTGTTTGTATTTTCCAATCAGATACACTCTACCTCTACAAAAGTGAAGCATCATAAATGGAAAGAAGTAACACACATTTAAAATAACCCATCACTGTCCAGGAGTCCTGGTGTGGCGCTAAGAGTTAATGTGCTGGACTGCAATATTGACTTGAACTGCAAGGTTGGCAGTTCAAGCTCACCAGCTGCTCCTCAGAAACCCTATATAGGGTTGCTATGGGTCAGAACCAACTTGGCAACAATTCACAACAACAACAATATCATTGTAGATAAGTTATGAAGGAAAAACCCAGACCCATGCTGGTCAGTCAAATATGATGAATACAAAGTGAATCAAATGGCCTATTCTCCCCACCCCCCAGCATATTTGTGTTCTTTCACAGATATTGGGAATATTTTTATTGAAATAGTATATGCATATAGACACAAATCTGTTGATACGTGTTATAAAGTAAGCAAACCTACCAATCTTACTAACAAATTTTGACCAACTATATGTTCCAGGTCGTCAGGAAAAAGATTTATTTGAGACAGGCTGACCATGTGTCTGGTCAAAACTGATTGGATAAAACAATGCAGTTGGCTCAGAGTTTTTTTTGTTTTTTCTTAAAGCAAAACAAAAAACCTGGTTCTAAATCTGCAGAACTTAGAATGCAGTAAACGGATCCCACTCAGATGGCATTTTCCATTTGGTTTGGGGAGTCTATTTTGATTGTCCCTTCCTATTTTCATGTTAGAAAGCTTAGCTCAGAGTGGCATCTGTTTTATTTGTAGTGAGGTTGGCTTCAGGTCACCCAGATGGAAACTATGACACAGCCTGATTCAACACCTTGACTCCTCCCAGCCCCTCCAGGACTTGGATCTCAGCAGTAGATCCACAGCCAGGGGAACTGGAAGTTCAACAGTTGATTGTAGACTGCATAGCAAATTTCCTTAACCTGAACCTTTTGACCCTCCACCTATCCCCTATGCCTTATTCTTTTGCAGGAAGTTCCAGGTCTCCTTTAATTTCATAGTAAATCCATTAGGAATCATTTATTAGATCTGGCCTCAACATTCTGAGCAGCTGAAATGCTGATTGCATTGACCACATACATAGGCAGGCACAGAACCAGCACTTCCTTCTCTTTTCTGATGACTGTCAATCCCTTGCCACCTCCCCACAGCACCTCCAGAATGCAGTCTTCTACTTCTCCTCCCACCCTATCCCATGCTAGTAACCCATACCGCTCAATGATTAGCATAGTAATCATTCTCACTTATTAACTGATAAATGGCAATCTGTACTATTACACTGAGCAGGGACTGAATTACAGAATGAAGTTACATGAAAAATCATCCGATCTGCACTGAGGATGTGATTACCACTCCATTCAACTTTCTGGTCCCACTCACACGCATTGTGCTTTTCATCTGGGCTGCTTGTCCTGTACATTGGCGGGTCCAGATCCCACAATGGCTCTTTATTTGGATGAGAGTTCTGGGACCGGTGCCACTCGGCTGCACGGTGCCAGGTCCTGACCTACTCCTTCTTCGGTGAGGGCTGGCACATGCTCATGGCCTCCATGGGGGTAATCTGTTAACTTCAGGGGAAGCAGGCCTAGCTGGTGTTGGGATTTTGTTCCCACTTTAACCAGGAAATAATATCCTAGCTAGGAAGTGAAACTGACCAGAGTTGTACAATCAACTGCAGTGGATATTCTGATCTTGGGAATCAAAAGTTATTTCCTTTAGTTCATATAGCCATTTCCTATATTCTTTTATTATATGATTCTATTCATATTCTATTTTTTGTTGTTAAGTGCCATCGAGTTGATTCCTACTCAATGGAATCATAGCGACCCTGCATAGGGTTTCCAAGCAGCAGCTAGTGGGTTTGAACCACCAACCTTGTGGTTAGCAGTCCGGTGCTTATCCTGCCACATCATTCTATTTGTAGGACAGGGATTTTGTCTGGTTGGTTGGTTGGTTGATTTTGTTTTGTTTCAATATTATATAGAAAGAGGCAAAACTTTTGTCCTCAAACTATTAATAATGAGTCTTTCTCTTGACTATTGTTAGTTCTTAGTGTTTGTACAAGATCCCTGGGTAATGCCAATAAGTTTGCACTCAGATGGTAATCTACAAGTTGGTGATTGGAACCCTTCCAATGGTACCGTGGAGGAAAGATCTGGTGATCTGCTTCTGTAAAGATTGCAGCCAAGAAAACCCTATGGGGTAGTCTCACTGTGTCATCCATGAGGCCAGAGTGAGTCACAAATGATGCCATAGTAACAAGGTTGATGTTGATTTCATGTTTGTACCACATAGTGTGGAGTACTGGTGTAGTATTTCGGGTTAATGTTCTAGACTGAAGGTCAGTTTACACTGCAAGGTCAGTGGTTCAAGCTCACCATCCGTTCCTCAGGGACCCTATACAGGGTGACTATGAGTTGGAACCGAATCAACTGACGGCACTTAACAACAACAACAACAGTCACATAGTTGATCATTAGGTTAGTTGGTTGACTAATCTTATTAGACCCAGAGTTTTAAAACCTCAGGGGGTAAAGGGAAGTGATCAGTCCTGTTAGAGGACTTTTTAGTGACGCCTTTCACTGGAACCTCAAAGCTATCATTTCCCACTATGGGGCACCACTGGACTAATTCTAACACTGGTCACACTTTCTGCCATGTCTTGTTTTTCATCTCTTTCTCATGATCTTCCTTGCCCCTCAAGGATTAGAGCATTATTTTAGAAATACAAGGCACTGAATACTGACTTCATTTATATTTATTGTGCTTTTGTCTTGTTTTGTTTTTTAAACATGAGATAGCAGGGCAACAGCTTGTGTTTTTCAATCAAGGACAGCTCTGCTGGTTCATAAGACCAGTAACAAAAGACAGCTACCTCTCAACCCTGTAGTAAAGTAAATACTTCCTTCACTACAAAAGTGAGCTTATTTTCGGAAAAGCAGATCTGCTGCTGAACATAACTCCTAGAGGCTCCTATTGTTCTTGGAAACCAGAGTGAAAAAGAGCAAGGCTCTTAGGGAGTCACTTTCATTGAAAAAGAATCATCCAACATACGTAGGTTACAATGATCAACAATTTTCTCCTACAAATGGAGGTATGGATTTTTCTAAAAAGTCAACCAATTCATGACTATGAGCTGGGGCAGCTTTTCAATGATCATGAGTCACATTACCAAAGTAACTCTTACTTCAGGAATCTCTGGCAGAGAAAGGCTGGAACTGATTGTGAAAACCTGAACTAGAAGACACTTCTGACTTCCTGGTAACAAGGTCTCAGTGTCTGGAGGAACCGGAGCTTGCGTGTAGAGCCCTTGTCACCAAAGTAAGAGGAGGCGATGTTTACCTTGGCCCTGACTTGTGGACAGAGGCACAAGAGGAATTGAAAGGTTGTTGTGAAGACCTGCTAAGAATGTCTTTCTGGAAGCCTAGAGAGGGTCTTCCAAATGCCAAAATTTCCATGGGACATCCTGTATACAACTGTTTGGATGTGATTTCTGCCTCATTTAGAATAATTCATTGCTTCACTCGAAAGAGCCCAGAATAATCCATAGGACAAACATTGTTTTCCTATTTCATACCAAAACACAGAGCCATTCCTGGGTAATCCAAAAATGCTTAACGAAATGAATGCCAGTTTAAAGGCATTGTGAGAACTGGCTAGACATGCTTCAAGAGTAGGGCCAATGGGATTACAGCAGATGAGCTCAGGACAGAAGGCTAGGAGGACGTGGGAATGAGGAGGAAAAGGATGGGGAGCTGGGCCTTCAGAAGCAGACCCAGAAGGACACGCTGTGCCTTCTGATGACATTCCTTGAACCCAAAGTGACTTCAGCTCTTTTTGATGTCAGTTCAAATATCTATTGTTCTTCCAGACCCACCTTACACAGGAAAGTTCCATTTATTTGGGCAATCTTGTCCATAAGGGCTCTCTTTCTCTAGACTATTGTGGTTCTTAAGAGTTCTCGTTGTACAACTTAGCATTTGGTTAGTTGGTTGGATGATTTCACTCACTGATTCATTCCATAAACATTTACTGAGTCCCTGCTTTGAACTTTGTGCCAAAGGCACAGAAATGAATGTTGCATTTTCTCACTTTACTCTGAATTGTTCTTTAGTTCTTTATACATGGATGTCCTGATTCTCCATTTATACTACTTAGCCTTCCTTCTTTTGTATTCACAGTGTCTACCCTGGGGAGGGAGTTCTGGTGTAGTGCTGTGGGTTAATGCGCCAGACTGCAAAGCGGTTTGAACTGCAAGGTTGCTGGTTCAAGCTCACCAGCCACTCCTCAGAAACCCTATCCAGGGTTGCTATGGGTCGGAACCGACTCGATGGCACTTAACAACAACCCTGGGGAGAGACAACACTCAGTTATTTAATACATGTTTATTTAGTGAATGTGATCAGGTGGACGTGGAAGTCCCACTTTTCCTAAGCTGCTCCTGTTGTTGTTAATTGCCATGGAGTTAACTCCAACTCATGAAATCTTAGGTATTACAGAACAAACACCACAGCACCATCCACATGATCATTGGTATGTTTGTGTCTATTACTTCGACTAGTGTGTAAATCTATCTCATGGAGATTTTTTTCCTCATTTTGCTGACCCTCGATACTACCAAATATGAGGTCGTCTTCTAGAGATTTGTCTTTCCTGATGATGTGTCCACTCTAAACTGTATCGTCCTTTCAGGATACTCTAGAGATAGAGAACTTCAAACAAACCATTAAATTAGAAACATAATACCTCTCTACTTGGATTACTGTGGGAGAAAAATGAAGCTTTCTGCTTCCACAAACATTTAAAGCTTCAGAAACCGTATATAGGTCGCTATGGGACGGAGCTGACTCAATAGCACTTAACAACATGAGTTATTAGTGGATAAAGGGGAAAATGTGTATAAAGTGCCCAGTGTGACTCATGGATTGTTGTGC